ATAAACAAGAAGGGCTTCTTTCCCTTAGCTATGGAGCTTTTCTCTTTAATTTTATTAATTTTAAGAATACCCTTTGTGGTATTCGTGTTTGATTCGAATTGCGAATTTTCGGCCATTATTCGATGAAAAATTGACGAATAACTCGTACACCTCTACTAAAATATATTATTTATTTACTTATTTCCCGGTTTCGGGAGGGGGGGAGGGGGGGGGGGAAGGGCAGTCTTGGGTAAGTTACTTTTAAAATGTAATTCGTTACAGGTACAGTTACTTTCAGAAAAAAGTAGCGAAGTTACCGTTACAGTTACCGCAACAAAAGAGTAACTCGTTACAGTTACCGTTACTTTTAAAAAGTAACGGCGTTACTTTTCAGTTACTTTTCTATAACACAAGAAATAGAAAAAAATAGAAAACGCCCCTCCCAACGTTTTATTGCATAATATAAAAAATTACGCTTGTTACTTCATATTGTAACTTAGCAGCAGTTGCTTCCCGAAGTTACTGTTTGAAAGTTTCCACGCCAGAGTAGTGGCGCAAATCAAAATACGAAAAATGCGCAGTGCTGAGTAGTGGCGCTAATCAAAATTCGAGACATGCGTAGTGCCCTCCACGTGTATTGTTGTTTCACGGTTGATTCACCGGATTAAAAAGCATTCACACAGAAAAAGGAAAAACCACAACATAGATATAGTGCTTCAAGACACTAAGATGTAAGTGTTCAGTCACAAAGTACAAGCGCGTGCGTAAAGATAACTAGATATTTTTTCATAAAATCTACACGTGGCTATAATCGGGTCGTGACTCCCGAGAAAGAACGTATTCACAACTTTGTGCAAGGCCAACTTGACACTCGAAATGTCGGAATAGACGATTTGGAAAGTGCAAGGAATGGCTAAATTGCACTCGTTCAGTGATATATATATATATAATTCATAAAACAATTGACAAGTAACAACAAAAGTAACGTCGTTACTTCAGAAAAAAGTAATAGAGCTACAGTTACAAGTTACTTCTTAAAAAAGTGACTCGTTACAGTTACAAGTTACCAAAAAAGTAACGAAGTTACAGTAACGCGTTACTAGTAACGCGTTACTACCCAAGACTGGGGAGAGGGGGGCATGTTGCAATTCAACAATTGACGGCACTTACTAGACTCCGTTTCACCTTATGTTGTACCGCATGAGAAGGCTAGAAGCGCGAGCTCATAGCGTTGGGAGCTACTCTTACCGCACGAGAGCTTGTGCCGCCGAGGTGTGCCCTAGAGCAAGGAGCTCGCGCTTGCAGCCTTTCCTGCGGTACATCATAAGGTGAAACAGAGTAGAGTGGAAGCGAGACAAGTTAAAAAAAAAAGTTTGCAAAAAAGGTTAGACATAGTAAACCTGGAGCTAGGGGACAAAAGGGGACGGACAGGCACGAAACTCTCTCCGTCCCTTCTTGTCCCTTAGCCCCAGGGTTACTCTGTCTATCCTTAACCAGTTCGCCTGCCTACTTCCTTTAACTGAAAAAAGGTGACGTTTTTTTAATATTATTTTGATACCCAAAAAGACCTGGAAACAATGACGCTTAAAAGAGTGACATAGGCGTTTTCTGGGTCACAGCAGCTAAATGCAGCAAACAGGATATGGCTTCGTTGCTCGAAGGATACGTTCTCACTCGCTCGTGCCACGCCCACGCAACTTCGCGCAGAAAAGCACTCGGAGCTTGAATTTTGAAAAGGATGCATCCTTGTGGAATGACCACCGCTTGTCTTACATGTAACAACAAGATTACGTTTTTGTTGTATCTTTGCTTAGGTATTATTTGGTTTTGCCTATCATGGGGATACCACAGTGTAAAAGTGCTTGGAGCCGAATTTCAATTTTTTAAGAGGAGAGGTGAGAACCATTTGAACGGTTAGTAAAAACGCAGATGCTACATTAATCATTAAACGTAGCACTAAAATTCTTTTATAGAGAACTCAAGACTTTGTAGTCTCAGCTTGAAACCGAACCAACCACTATACCAGGTGTATTCTGTGGAGACTTTCAATGATCTCTCGAAATAAAGTCGTTGGGGGAAAAAAAGGAAAGAAACTGCCATCGGGAACAACTTGTCTGCTACGGCGGCCGTCGGTGATTACAAAATACAAGCTAATTCTAAAAAATATTTACCTATTATAAAATAATTGCCAATTTAGTTAATGAAAATAGACATGTGGTTCGAATTAGAATTTTCCTGAGCGTCATTAAGACCCCGTATTCTAGTTTTTAAAAAATCGAGACTTATTGCACGTGTGAAGTGCGGGAGTGTGCCGACGTTACCGATCTTGCAACAGGCACAATGCTGATAATGCGAAAACGCCGACGATATTCTCATCATCTGTATCTTCGCATCACCGGCCTTCCGCGTGCTTCACGCGTTGTAATTTCAGCGCACCCCCGCGCTTCCAACCCAGCTTCAGTCCTAAAATTGACTGATATAGGGGATTTCAATGAGGCTCAGCGAGTTTCTATAAATAAAACCATCCGTGTATTTTCACAAATATAAAAGTAATTAACAGATTTTAGATATTTTATTTGTTCGGTAGTGGGTTCTTGCAATCTCCCAAGTCTGCCGCGGATGAAGGTCTCCAAATAGTGTTATTTTTCCCCCTCCACCACCCTATTTGTAGGGATATTTTTTTTTGTTTTCGCGTAAATAACTGGCATAAACTGACCAGACAAAGAGCCTGACATTCTTTTGCAAAGATCGATAACAATCGTTTTATTCTTTTTTTTCTCGCTAGATTTAGAAGCTAATAAAGTGGACGTATCGCAGCCTTCGTAGGTCGAGTAAAGGCTGGTTCACACAGCCCCGATTCCTTACGTTACGTTACGTAAGCTTACGTACAAGCCAGCGGGATATCCGTGCTTCATATCAAGCGTGGCTACCGATTCGAGGAGGTGTACCTGGCACGTGACATTCGAGACACGAATGCTTCGGTGACACGGACGATGTGGAAGAAAACGGTGCTGTGTGAAAAGTTGAACCGAGCTCAACTCCTTACGTTACGTTACGACTAGACTTGTGTCCTTTTGTTGCCACGGTAACTCACCGTCCTAGCTCGTCGTCATCGAAACATTCCTGCTTAGAATGTCGCGTGCAAGGCTATCTCCTTGAATTGGTAGCCACGCTTCATACGAAGCACAGATTTCCCGGTGACTTTTGGTAACGTAACGTAAGAAAACGGGTCTGTGTCAACCAGCCTTATGTACGAGTCATAAACGTAGGAACCGAGAAGATAGCGTTAAAAATAGTAACGGCTACAAGTAAATGCATAGCATCTAAAACCAATCAAATCAATCTTGTGATTACTTTCTAATAAATGTAATCAGACGATTACAAAATTACTCCAAACAGTAATCGATTACGAGCAATTTGATTAGGTGTAACGAGTGCCGTCTGGTAGACGAGTTGTTTCGTCTTCTTAAGTCTCCCCTTTTGGCTTGGAACATTAGGAAACAATTGGCAGCGACCGCCATCTCCAAAGTCACCTTGTGCATGAAAAGCAGTATTTAAGGTGCGATCGTTTTAAATTATAGGGAGTATTCACTGGCGGCCATAGCTGTGCGCGCATGCTGAGCGCGTGCTGATGGCGAGCTTCCACAGTTCTTTTGCAACGTGCATTCCGCACCATCAAGAGCGCCGGTCTTAGCAGCCTATTGGTGTGAGCTCGTTCTGAGCATGCGCTCTAAACTGCACCCACAAATATGGCGTCCAGTGAATACTCCCTATTTAGAAGACATTTAACCTTTGTATCGGGAATTCAATAACATTCATTTATTTTTATCAATTTCCCCGCTGCATTGTAGGTCACGTGGCGTCAATTTCTCCGCTAAATTTAGCGGAAAAACTAGATTGGTGTATTATAGCCTCGTGACGACGGATTAAGGAAAATCGATTTTCTCGCTAAATATCGCGGGGAAACTGTATAGGTTCCGTGCCGTCAGGTCACGTCGCCGCATTTTTTCCGGCTAAATTCAGCGGGGAAACTGAATAGGTGCATATGTCACGTGACTTCAGGTCACGCGACACCAATTTGCCCGCCGACTTTCGGGGAAACTTGAGTATTGTATAGGTCACGTGATGCGGGTTACGTGAAATCAACGTTACTAGATTACCTCAGTTGTGCAACTCCCGCGGAGGGGGGCACCCCCCCTCAGTCACTTCAATCCGCCAGCCGTCGTTCGAAGCGCCATCTATATTTTCGTTTTATAACTGTGTGTTCCAAAGAGCACAGCTGAAGCGACAAATGGCGAACACAACACCGCCATTTCTCCCGCAGCGGTCACTCGAGGAACGGCACGTGACATCTATTTTGGCTTCAACCGGCCATTTCGGAGTTGAAACAGATACGGTGAAAAGGGTTACAGCGGTGCCGCCCCCGGCTCCCTAGCGGACACGCCGCGGAATTCCAGCGAAGTTGAGCCTAGGTCGGGACGCGCTACCTGAAATCACCGCTGAGGCATGGTTGTATAAAAACAATATTAATTGTGCTGCAAAACCTTGCAAACTAAAGATTTTAAAAAACATCACACGCCCCTCATTTTGTACTAAACTCCAATAAAAGTTACTACAAAAAGAGTTTTTTTTTTTCCCGTTCGTTTTTACGTTTCTAGTAACGTTGACACGTACGTATCCCGATTCAGTTACCAAAGCAGCCGTCTGGTGGCGCGTCGAGCGACACCGGGCGAGTCGTGGTGATTGAAAGGGGGTACTGTTCGTGCATGCAGCGTATATGAGCAGTTCCGTAACTGAGCTAATCTAATAACGTTGCGTGAAATCAACTGACGTCACGTAACCTTAACACCCATTCAGTTTCTCCGCTAACTCTAGCGGGAAACGCGGACGGACGAATAAATTGTTAGGATTATGGAGCTCCGTTGAAAAGGAGTTCATGCTTTAACCACACTCTGTGTCAGCAACTCCGATCGGCGTAACGCGTGCCGCGACTTGAGTTAGGAGCGAGGCGCGTTACTCACGGCTACTGAGCAGCATGTCGCAGAGCTGGTTGTCGTGGGGGAAGCGCGTGAGGTCCATATTGCAGGCCAGCTTCATGGACACCCTGGCGGCCATGAACACAGTGCCGCTCCGGTCCAGCGTCATGTAGTGGTAGGGAAAGATGACCTTGTCCAGCCGGCCGTCGGCCGAGTTCTTGAAGTACGTCTCCGGAGTCCACAGGTCCGGGTGCCAGCGGGGGTCCAAGACCACCTTGTCGGCGGGGGCCAGCAGGCGCGGGTCCTTCCACTCCTCGTGCAGAAAGACGTCCACTTCCATGAACTGCGAAATGGAAAATACGTATCACGCGCGCTGCGTTGGTTGACTACGTGGCCTTCACGTAAGGGCATCGACCATACGATAGGTACTTCTACTTCCCCTTACGCGAGAACTGACTTCCACATGAAATATTGTCACGATTGATAATTGATGAGGCGGCGAATAAATGGCGAACCTAAACGTTTAGAGGGGCGAACTTGTGCCCAAAAAGAAAAAAAGAAGGTTAGCGTCGCAGGCGTCGATGTGGGCGAAACAGCAGGATCGAGCGCTGGAGCGAGACTGACTGGTTCGTCACGAGGAGCTCCTTATGTACACGCGTAGACTCCTGGAACAATCGACGTAGATGATTCAGCGCGTAAAACATCCGTCCTTCAAGTAACCAAAAATGTTCTCGAATTCCCCAGAACGCGACATTTGCAGAAATAACAAAAAGGCGCGTCCGCTCTCAGGCATCGAACCTCGATGCTTGTTGCGCAACCACCAGTACGTCGTCACTTACGTCGCCAGCTAGCTCGTGAGGTAGCTTGGCGTCAAGCATTACGATCACCTGGCGACCATGCACCAGTTTGAATGGTGTAACACCAGTGGTCTTTTAAACCGTTGTGTTGTAGGCGAACGTGACGTACGGCAGCACCTCGTCCCACATCTTGTGTTTCAAGTCGACGTACATCGACACCATGTCGGCGATGGTCTTGATTAGGCGTTCCGTCCGCCCGTTAGTCTGAGGTTGGTATGCAGTGGTTCGCAGGTGGTTGCTATGGTTCAGACGGAGGATATTTTGCATCAGCTGTGTCATGAACGATGACCCGCGATTTGTAATCAGAACTTCGGGAGTGCCGTGCCGAAGGATGATGTACTCGACGAAAAGCTTGGCGACTGCCACAACAGTCTCTGAAGAAAGGGCTTTCGTTTCTGGGTACCACGTGAAGTAATATGTAGCGACGATTACCCAGTGGTTTCCTGACGTTGACGGCGGAAAAGGGCCAAGTAAATCCATTCCGATCTGCTGGAACGGCATGGACGGGGCAGCAATCGGATACAGAAGTCCTGACGGCTTTGTCGGTGATTTTTTGTGTAGATGACACTCGAGCCATGATCGAGTGTAGAGGTGAACGGTCTTCGAGAGCCTCGGCCAGTGGTACTTTTCCCGAATCCGGGCGAGCGTCCTGCTGTAGCCAAGGCGCCCAGCCGTTGGGTCGTCATGGCAGGAGCGGCATATTTCTTTCCGAAGACTGGTAGGTATTATCAGTAACCACGCTGGGTTGCTGGTCCCGAAGTTCTTTTTGAAGAGAACACCTCGTAGAATGGTGAAGCTTGACAAGTATCGGGAGAAAATGCAGCGGACGGTACTTCCTTGACCTACCAGGTGCTGAAACGCGGCACGGAGTTCGCAGTCGTCACGTTGAAGTCGTGCCATGTCGGTATACCTTGGCTGCACCGAGAAAACTTTCGTTCTTCTCGTCGTTGGTGCTGGCAGGTGGTGACTCGACGGGGGCTCTCGACAGACAGTCGGCGTCACTGTGTTTGCGACCGGATTTTTAAGCAAGGATCATGTCGAGTTCTTGCAGTCAGAGACTCCAGCACGTGATGCGTCCAAAGGGATCCTTGAGGTTTGCGAGCCAGCACAGGGAGTGGTGATCTGTGACCACGCGGAATGGACAACCATACAAGTACGGGGGAAACTTTGTTATCGCCCAGATCACAGCAATGCATTCTTTTACTGTCGTTGAGTAGTTTCCCTTCGCCTTAGACATCGACTTGCGTAAGCGAACACTTTCTCTGTACCTTACAGCCACGGGACCAGTACTGCACCAAGTCTGGTACTTGCGTCGGCGTGGATTTCCGATTCTTCGAACTGGTAAAAATGGCCGAGAATCGGATTTTGTCTGAAGCCTCCACCTGACCTCGTTAAGTGCCCACTGTCGTTCTTCCCACTGAGACTTCACAGTGTTCTTTGTGAGATGGATGAGCGACGCAGAAAACTGGGCGAAATCTTGAACGAGGCGGGTAATCTTGTAACGGCTTTCTTATCCGACGGCGGTAAAAACGCGGCTGCCGCGCGTGTCTTCTTGGGGTCAAGGCGAACACCTTCGTTGTTCACGACGTGGGCTAAAAACTGTAGTTCGTCATAGGCAAAACGGCATTTCGTCGGTTTGAGGGTTAGTCCAGCGGTCTTGATCGCTCGTAGTACGGCTCGAAGGCGTCTCGGGTGCTCGTCGAAATCTCTTGAAAGTACAACGACGTTGTCTAGGTAAACAAGACAGCTCTGTCATTTCAGACCTGCTAGCACGGTGTTCATGACACGCTGAAGGGTTGCGGTTGCCGTACAAACTCCAAAAGGCCTCACTCCAAACTCGTACAGTCCGTCGGGCGTGACGAAAGCCCTCTTATCACGGTTACGCTCGTCGACTTCGATCTGCCAATAGCCACTGTTCAGGTTCATTGACGAAAAATATTGGGTGTGGCGAAGTCTGTCCAGGGTGTCGTCGGCTCGGGCAGCGGGTAGACGTCCTTCTTCATCCCGACGTTCAGTCAACGATAGCCAACGCAGAACCTCCGAGCCCCACCCTTCTTCTTTAGCAGGACGACTGACGACGCCCACAGACTGCTTGAAGGCTGGATGATGTCGTCATTCAGCATTTTTTGTACTTGGATTTGTGCAAAGAAAGCGCTTCGTCGTCGGTAACAATGCGGTGCTTCACTACCGTCTTTTGTTCCACACTTGAGGAGGTAGCAAAGCACTCAGTGAACTAGCCTAGGAGGTCAAGCAGGCGTCGTCCTGTAGCAGGAAGCTTTGAATCGATGTCGAGTTCCGAGAGAGGCGTTCTCTGGGGCTGCGATGAAGACGACTCTTCCGAGAGTGAAGTGATGACGGCTGAGTCCTGAAGTTCGTTGCGGTGGCCCACAGCGATACCTTTAATAAGGTGCTGTGGCTCTTGTCGGAAGTTTGTAACGAGGATCGGGTGGCGCGCACGTCTCTAAGCTCTGCTACATTCCTCGCAACCCTGAGTCCTCTTTCTAGAAGAAACTGGATCCGCCCTCGAGCAAAACTTCGGCGCAGGAAGCTTCATTGGTCCCGATAGGTATAAAAACACATGATCGCGGCGGCAGGTTCACATGGTCGGCACGGAACACGGATTACGTAGTTTTTGTTTTCTTCGGTAGTAGGACAGGTTTTTGTAACGTCAACCTGTTGGCTCCCAGATCGGTGACAGCGCCGTACTCGTACAAAAAACCCATTCCGTCGTACAGTCCTGAAGAACGACGAACTTCCCCGGACAGGTTTCGCCATAAATCTCGACGCGAGCGGTGCCTCTTCCGACGGGTATGATGAGATTTCCTCCAGCGGTTCGTATCTGCGGGCCATCCCACGGTGTCGTAACTTTCCGAAGGTGGCGAAAGAGCTTCCCACTCAGAACCGAGTAGCCTGCCCCGGTGTCGACGTGTGCCTTCGCATCGCGGTAGTCAATAATTATACTGAGGTTGTTCGGCACCGTCACAGAAGCGTTCTTCCACGGCCTATCGTCGTTAGAGTGGAAGCCCTCCAATGTTCGGGGAGGTTTTTTTACTTCGTCAGTGAACGGCAACTTCACCTCCCAGGGTTGCAGCGCTTAGTTTTCCCGGCGAGACATGGCGGACCGGCTTTGTCGGCGGGAATGGTGAAGTAATAGGGAGTTTTCGTAGACCGCGTTGCCCCCTCCGCTAAGCGTTCCGCAACGAGGAAGTCGCTACTACGCCTGCGCGCCGATAGCTTTGACTGTGGAGTTCCCGCTATCGTAGCGGGTTGCGGAGGACCTTGCGGGACGGCGAAAACGATCTACGAAAACTCCCTATTGACTCTGGACGTCGCGCGGACGGCGAACGAGATCCTTGGGGTGCATCCGGTATCGGGGACGGCGATCGGCCCAGGTACTCCTCAATACCTCTTGGCCGCTCACCAAAGCGGGGCTGAGGGTCGTTAGGCGCAAACCCTCGCAGGCCCAAACGGCGGAAGCTGCAGCGTCGGTAGACGTGGCCGGCCTCTCCGCAGAGGTAAGGCGTCTGTCGGCCGTTCGCCATACATCGGTCTCCCGTGGTGCTCGGGGCTCCTGGTGAGGATATGGGACTTGTTTCGGTCAGGGCGTCGGGCACACTGCTGCGCTGGAGACTGACGTTGAGGCAGAGCGGCGTATGGGCGAGGCGGTGATGGTGGTCGTCGGGCCATTCCGGCGTACGACAACGTTGGCTCCTCGGTGGCTGTCACGGTGTCTGGAGCCTTTTGTTCGAAGGGTCCATGTAGTTCTTCCCGAACCACCTTGGCGATGGAGAGCGAGACCGGGAGTTCAGCAGTAGGCAGCAGCTTATTTAGTTCTTCCCGTACAACATCGCGAATAATCTCCCGAATTCCAGGCAGGCTGAAACCGTGGTCCAATCCTGAAGGCGAGGGGGCAGCTACGCCGGGGTGCCGCTAGTAGTGGGTTGCCCTTGAAAGGATGGCACGCTCCATGTTTGTCGCCTCGGAGACGAATCCTTGAACGGTCGTCCGTGGGTTGCCCACAACTCCACCCAAGATGTCGTCCTTCACGCCACGCATACGCAGCTTTCTTTCCTCGGTGGCTTTAGGATCGGCGTGGGAGCTCAGGCGAAGGACATCTTCCACGAAACTCGTAACGCTCTCACTGAGGCCCTGGGTCCTCGATCGCAGCAAGTCGTTGGCCCTCTCTCTTCGGTATTGACTGGCGAACGTACGCGCCAGCTCGTTCTTGCAAAAGTCCCACGAAGTAAAGGAAGCGTCATGGTTTTCGAACCAGCGCCTTGCAGTACCTTCTAGTGAGAAATAGAGGTTCAGCAGGCGCTGTTCGTCACTCCACCCGTTGTGGCTGGCCACGCGATCGCACTGGTTGATCCAGATTTCGACGTCCTCATAGATCTCGCCAAGAGAGGAAATAAGTGTCAGCGCAGCGACGGGCAGGACGACGACCGGCGGAGCGGTCATCGTCGGGATCTTCTTCTTCCGGTTCTCG